TTAAATATAAGAATCTATTTTTAAAATAAAGAAAAGCTTCTTTCCCGAACAACTTTTCCTCCGCATGTCTAACATTTTTGTTTAAGAACCATGCACTTGTGCCTCCATATTTCAAATAAATGTTGTTGCTTTTTTTGTGGGTTTTTTTTTTTTGCTATTTTTAATCTACTGGTCATTCAGGATATTCCTGGCATTCATAATGTAATAATTTATTTCTTCATCTATAGCTCATCAAATTTATGGCATGTGACATATATTCTGAATCTTGATACCACCCAGCTAGAAATTACTCAACAGGTGTCATCCATATTAGTACTTTCAATCATTTAGTGAGGTTAAATATAATGTTCAGTAAGCTACTAAAAATTACGTTGTTTTTCAACAAGTTTGTTTCTGATGATCATTAATTAAACATAAACATGACTTTGAAAGCTGAGTATAAATATGAATCAAAATATCTCCATGATAGAACAAGTGGTTGCAAAAAGGACAAGTATGTACACTTTGGACCATGTTTCTTAAAAAAGTGCTGCCATATATTTGCATACACACAAATATATGTTACTTAGCTGGCTGGGAAGGTGGGTCAGTGGTAAAGTGTTTGCCTTGAACACATGAGGCCCTGGGTTCGATTCCTCAGCACCACATAAGCAGAAAAAGCCAGAAGTGGCACTGCGGCGCAAGTGGTAGAGTGCTAGCCTTGAGCTGAAGAGCTGAAGGACAGCACTCAGGAACAGAGTTCAGGCCCCACAACCGACAAAAATAAATAAATAAAAATTTAATATATATATATATATATAAATAATATATATAATATTTAAAGAAACTTTTAAGCAATCACATAGAAAAGAGTAAATTTGTATTTTCTAAAATTCTAAAGTTGTTCCAAGGTTGATCTGAATTCTTTAAGTTTTGGGTTTTTGTTGTTGTTGTTGTTTGTTTGTTTGTTTTGGTTGGTCATGGGGCTGGAACTCTGGGCCTGGGCACTGTCCCTCAGCTCTTCAGCTCAAGGCTAGCATTCTACTGCTTGAGCCGCAGCACCACTTCTGGTTTTCTTGTGGTTTATTGGAGATAAGAGTCTCACAGCCTTCCCTGCCTGAGCTGGCTTTGAACCCCAATCCTCAGATCTCAGCCTCCCGAGTAGCTAGGATTACAGGCCTGAGCCACTGGCGCTGGCTTCTTTCAGTTTTTATTTAATCTACTTAAAATATATATTTACCCAATCATATATCCTACTTCTTAACGTTAAGAAAAACATACTTCCTAAATTCTTTTGCATTGGTTAATCTTCGACATGGACTTAATCATCCCCTCCCCCACCACTTCCCTTAGGATTTTACAATATCACTATCTCCCCTTTTCCCTAGATACTCCTCTATGCCCCCTATAACCTCTTCTACCTCCTCAGTTTACTTCCTCCATTTCCAAAACTACTCTCAACCAGTGTTTCCCTCAAGCTGTATGCTTTTTTGTCATCTTTTCTTCCATTGGAAATTTCCAGAAAAATGATTTCTGACTCACTGGATATACCCACTTGTCATTTTCTTGTTCACACACTATCACTCAGTAGATCTCCACATACAGGCCCAGGAATTCCTGCCTAAATACTTGAACTAACTTCCTCATTCCAGCATACCAATTAGTTGCCACATTCCACTAATCTTATTTTGTCCTGTCTCTCCAGGCCATCTGTAATTAATTCACTGTCTTATTGATGGTACTCCTTACCACTCTCTCTTTCCTGACTCCTATAGGTCTATCTTCCACATATATATTAACATCACCCATCAGAAGAGGGTAGCTTTTTTCACTGTTGATTTTGCCTAGATCTCCTACAGGATCTCCTTATCATCACTCCAACTATTCCTTTAATCTAACTGCTATCTTTTTTAATATATATTTTTTATTGTAAAGATACTGTACATAGGGGTTACAGTTACATAAGTAAGGGAATGAGTATATTTCGTACCAATCATTGTTACCCCCTCCTTTGTTTTCCCCCCCACTATCCCTTCACTTCATTCCCCCATCTCCCCTTCCCCCACAAAGTTGTAAAGTTCATTTCAACATAGTGTCAGCCTGTCTTGCAATGTGTCAACCAGTATCCTTATTTCAGCTTTTTGTTATTTTCCTTCCTCTTCCCAAATTAGAAAAATGTATATACAAGATTCAGGGCACCAGAATCAAATACAGTGAAAACAGGGGTTAATCTCTTGCTATCTTTTTTTGATCTTTAGAAGCACAGGTATAATTACCTAAAGCTATTTCCCATGTGATATTCAAACAGTTACAACAAAGTCTCCATGTTAAAATGTGAATGTATCCCCCATTTACCCTGTCTTCCCCCATGACACGCCCTACCTTCCTTACATTGTGGTTCCAATGTACTCATATATACCAACTATTTGGAAGCCATTTAAATCCCCTCTGTAATTCATCCAGTTGAACGCTAACACTCACTTTAGAATCCTCAAAAAGCATCTAGAGCAATATTTTAAAACAATATTTATGTCATATCAGCTTTAAAACCCTTCTAACATCTGACTTAGAAAACCATATAAACTCCTTACCTGGACCTTACACTGAAGCACCCTTCAAATACCTCCTTATGTTCAAACCACAGGGGTCTTCTATATATTTCTAGGACACAAGTGTACTATCTTTTCAGTGATTTTTGCCTGTCAATTCTGCTGCTGTTTTGTATTTAAATTACAATTCAGATCTTTATATATATTTTCTTTCAGGAGTCTCAATTCCAGCCATCTTAACCCAGTAAGCATTGGCTAGATGTGAATTACTATTTATGAGATTCCATCAAAATATTGGAGATTTATGCCTCAGAAGAAAATATCTGCCATTAAATGTTCAAATTGACTTAATAAAGATAATCACTGTTGAAATTATAAAGACAACGTCTAGCTAGAAAAGGTAGCTAAATTTACATTTAGTTTTCATTAGTCAACATAAAAACTAGATTTTCATTAGTAAACATAAAAGAGCCAAAGGCCACAAGAGATAAATGTGCTTTAAAAAAATAACAGCTTTATGAGAAAGGACAACATTCATTGTTAGTAAGGCAGTACACCTCCTAATATTATGCAATAACATCCTGTTTGGAGAAGATACATGAAATTCATAGGTCTAGTCATGCTATCCTTAATTCTTTTTCTTTCAACTGCTTTCTTACAGTTCTTTCATAGGTTTCCTTCTGAATGAGGACATTAGTGCTGTGCATATGTTAAGAAAAATGGAAATCCATATTATTATCAAAACATAATGTTATTCCACCACAGACTAAAAAGTTGGAAAAATCACCTTTTCCTAGCATTGGTATTTTTCAGGCTTTGTTGTTCTTTATACCCTAATCACAACAGGAATATCAGGATAAGATACATGTTATTCCTTCCTTACAAGATACGTTGGGGGCTATAACAGAACATGAAGTCACCACTTTCACTGATTTCTAGAATCTGTATGTATAGATGTTTCAATTAAATATCTAAAGACTGCATCCATAATTTGAGCTTTGGAATACACACACACACACACACACACACACACAAACACACACAAACACACACACACACACACACACATACACACACACACATTCCAATTAGGGTAAACATAGCAGATGGGAAAGCCAAAGTTCAGAGAGGTTACATGTTTTGCCAACACCACCCAGCTATTAATATAGTAGAGTCTAAACATACTCTTTTCATTTGCCCTCAGCAAAACAATGAAACAACTGTAACTAATTCCACAAAATCCTGGTCCTACCCAGAATAATTAGATCAGGAAAGACTCTAAAAACTGAAGTAGTTCAGAGAGAAACAGTTTTCTACACTGGTATTTTCACAACATCCTCAGAAAACTCAAGATATTTTAATAGATCTTTCAGGTGTTTATTTGAACAAATGAAAAGACATGCTAATTAACCATTCTTTCAAAATTAATTCCTTTTAATTACTGTTTGATTTCAATTTCCTGATATTATAGAAGCATGTCAGCAGGTTGAAAAATTTCCTGAGATTTGTTTCATTTTTCCAAGTCCTGACAATTACAATTAAGTACATTCAAAAGGTCTCTGTGCTAAAAAAAGAATTTGGAGAAAGTTTCACTTCATGGATTTTGGCTATCATTCATGATTAAATCTAGCTAATATATGTTAGTCATGGTAATTTATGTTTTAGGATGTCCTATAAAATTAGTTGGGGGAAATTATTTTAGCAATGGCTTAATCTCAACTGTTTACCAGTCTATGAATATATCATAAACTTTAAGTTTTACTTGTTGGTAAAGGTAATAGCAGGCAGAGGGAGAAACACTCCTCCAGCCTGGGGGCTTTCTAGAAGGGACTATGAATCATCGCTCATAACCATTCACCATATATGCAAACCTATAGTACCATGCCTTTAGAACTATTTCCAACCTGGTTAAAGAGCCCACGTGCTCACAGTAGAGTTTGTAATAAACAAAGAAAATACTGCTCATATTTTTTTAAACACACATGGTAAATTCTGTTCTTCAAACATAGTTGTTCCGAATAAAATAAAATAGGCACCACTTACAATTAGAAATAAGGTTTACTGCCAAAAAGATCAGACTCCAGAATTAAATTGTCCAGATCATCAGAAACACACACACACACACACACACACACACACACACACACACACACACACACACACACACACACACACACACACACACACACACACACATACTAAGACAAGTTAAAGATCTTTAAAAACAAAAAAAGCCAAAACAAAATAAAACAACCTTGGATATATGTCATAAAGGAGTCCAGTTACCTCAACTGTTTTGATGCTATCACATGCATAATTATACCCCACAGAAACACTTGTGATGCACTGAGATCAGATGGCTTCTTAAACCAGCAGAAAGGCATGCAGGAAAATGCCTAAGGCATTGACAAATTCAGTCACTTCTGGGAATGATGCTAAGCAATATAGATTGAGAATAAGTATAATTCTTACCATCTGAGACTGACTTCTAGGACATCCATTGATATCTTCAACTTTTTCATTTGCTAAAGCCAAAAAAGAAAAATAAAAGAGGGAGAAAAGAATGACATCCTTAAGCAATGAAATGAAACACACACGCTAACACACACACATACACACACACACACACACACACACACACAAAGACTTTAAAATAAAAATGTAAAAAAACACCAAACAAAAAAATGCAGCTGCTACATTTACTTGACCTCCCAAGCCACATACAGGAGAACACACTTGTTAGCAGCCGATAATTCCATGTGCACAAATCAAGCAAAAAAAAAAAAAGGAGTAAGAAGGAAGTTGCTGCAAATCCATCAGCATGTGGCAAGTGACTACTGACATGAAACCCTTTTACGATTGTCCCTGCTAGATCAGGGTACAGTTACTCAGAAACAGAGTCTCCAAGTGTAGGAATTGCTTCAGCTAACAAAATACACACATGGGAGACACATGGTTTAACGAAGCATTCATTTCTGACAGCTCAGTATATGTAAAGATATGGTTCTAGCTATAGAAGGGTATGGCTCAAACTCTTCTTCTTCTTCAAATGTCTTCACTTAAAGATATTTAATTAACTCAGGGGAAAGCCACATTCATCTCCAAGACACAGAACAAATTTGGTATGCATCCCACTTCAGCTGTATTTTGCCAAAGAGCTAGTAGCCAACTCTCTCATGCTTTCTCTCAGAAGCAGGTCTTACCGATGATCTGGATGATTTCTGCTAGCAATACTCCGTCCGCAATGTCCTGTTGTAAATCCTTGATCAGCCGCTTGTGTCCTGATTTTGCTAGGTAGTGGTTGGCCCAGTCAGTGTAAATCTGTTTAACATAATGAGGGAAAGAGAGACAATTTAAAAATGCCCGAGACAAATGTTAGATTCAAAGGGGAGCTATTCTGGATCGCATTCCAGCTTAAGAAGTCACAGCTCAAAAGGAAATAGTTGTAAAATAATTTTTAAACAGTTCTTCCCCCTACTTATCTCTTGTTTCAAAGGAGGATGATTCACTCTTTCAAAATCACAGGCCAGTCACTTCTGACAAGGCAAAGCTCCCTTCCCGAATGACTACTCAGGAAACTTCTACTGTGAATCAGTTTGGGTTTCTCTCTCTTTCCATTTCATCAATCAATTTGAAAATAATCCTGTTTCTTTTATGTAAAAGGAAGCCACCTGGACTGACTAATACAGAGCATTCATAAAAGTGTGTGTTTCTTGAGAAGATTTTATTGAATTTGTCACAGGAGAGACTATATGTGACAATATTCTGGCATCATTTTATGAAATAATTGCCAATGTTTTCCTTGCTATGATATTTTATTTGGACTGTCATCTCTCATTTAAGCCTTCTGAAATGTGTTTTTATTAGAGAACATAGGCAGCAAATGGAATTATAGCACAGAAATTACAATGCAGAATTGAGAACTATATTATAAGCCACAGGATAGGCGATGTGACATGGAGTATAAGTGACTCTTTGCCAACAGTTTGTGCTTTACAATAAAGTAGAATGCTGTTAAAATGCATAAATATATACATTGCTAATTCTAATGGGATGATGTGATCTCCTATACTACAAACCTAAAAATTAAGCATGAGGAATACCTACATGTTATACATGGAGAAATTAGCAAATTTATTATGAGGCAGATTATGTGACACAATAGTAACAATGAAAATGTGAAACAAAAGTAGAGGAAGAAAAATGAATAATAAATATGCATATACCAAGTGTTATTAGAATCCCTAGAATTAGAACCGAGAATATTGACAGAACTTGAATCTGGGGTATGCAGGGAAGGGCCTTCCTCACAGATAATATGACATATGGAAAAGCAAAATCTATACAGAACAGAACATAGTTATAAAATATGAGATTGAGGTAGGATGCTAAAATAAAGACACATAGGATCAGAAAATAAGCTATATCCTATACCCATGAGCACTGAATGTCAAGAAAACTACCCAAAACCCCACATTTTAAAAAAATTCCTGACAAAACAAATAGGTATGTTTGTACTTAGTAAGAAAACTCAGGTATAGAAGCTGGTGGCTTATGCCTGTAATCCTAACTATGATCTGAGGGTCACAGTTCAAGCCAGCTTAGACAGAAAAGTTCCTGTGAGACTCTTAAGTCAAATATTCACTCAAAAGCTGGAATTGGCGCTGTCACTCAAGTGGTGGAGTGCTAGCTTTGAGCAAAAAGAGCTAAGGGACAATGCCCAGGCCCTCACACACACAAAAAAAATTCTAGGGTGTAGAGAATAAAAAGTTAAGAGTCTCACCATAACTTGGACCAATTAATTTTTACTCACATTGCGCGCGCGCGCGCACACACACACACACACACACACACACACACACACACACACACGGTGACATTTTAAACCAGATGTCTCAAATTTTGCTATCATTCTTCAATTTCTACTTTTTGTTTAACAATACTTTAACGGCACTTTTTTTTTGTGGGGGGAGGGGGCTTGGGCGCTGTCCCTGCGCTCTTCAGCTCAAGGCAAGTGCTCTACCACTTGAGCCACAGCACTACTTCGGTTTTCTATGGCACCCAGCCATACTAAGTCTTTTTTTTTTTTTAAATTGTGAAAATACTGTACAGAGGGGTTACAATTACATGGGCAAGGTAATGAGTACATTTCTTATCAAGCATTGTAGCCTCCTCCTTTGTTTCCCCTTCCCATCCCTTCCCATCCTCCCCCAACCCCACCTTGCACCAAAGTTGTAAAGTTCATTTTCGACATAATGTCTTGTACATCTCATTGCTGCAATGGGTAAACCTGTATCCCTATTTAAACAATTTTTTCCCTTCCCCTCCACAAATTATACCAACATCAAATACAGTGAAAACAGGATTATACCATGGGAGAGGGACATACAAAGCAACAAAGAACTATGTTATAAATATGTTACAAACAATAGCAAGAAAGAAAAACCATCTGAGTCCTTATCTTGGGGTTCATTTCGCTTAACATCAACTTATCTGACTGTTTCTGCTTGACTCAGACATACATTAGTTATTGCAAATAAGGGAAACCATGGGACCTATGCTTCTTTGGGCCTGGCTTACTTCACTTAATAGAAATTTTTCCAAGTCTTTCCATTTCCCAACAAATGGGGCAATGTCATTCTTTCTGATGGAGGCATAGAATTCCATTGTGTATCTGGAACTCAAAAAATTAAATCCCCCAACAATACTTTAACAGCACTTTTAAAAGCCATCTAACATATGTTTCTCTCATTACTTTTGATGATATGTAAAAAATCTTCTCATCAAAGAACATAACCTGTTAAGAGTGTGCTTTTATTATAGCTCAAATTGTAAGAGACAATTTTGTATATTCATGCTAGTATTGATAGGACTAAAATCTGTAAAATTATATATATTTAAGAAATGCAAGCTGGGTGCAGTGGCTCATGTCTGAAGTCCTAGCTACTCAGGAGGCTGAGATCTGAGGATCACAGTTCAAAGCCAGCCTGGGCCAGAAAGTCTGAGACTCTTATCTCCAATAAACCACTCAGAAAACCAGAAGTGGCGCTGTGGCTCAAGTGGTGGAGTCTTGCCTTGAGCTGAAGAGCTGAGGGACAGCACTCAGGCGCAAAGTTCAAGCCCCACAACCAAAAAACTAAAATAAATAAAAAGAATCCCAAGTATAGGCAATCCAAAATAAAAATATGCAAGATGACGAGCATTTGTTTTAGAATCTAATATATAAATATATATATATATATATACATATTTAGAGAGAGAGAGAGGGAGAGAGAGACTCCATTTGCTGCATAACAAGAATAATTGGAGGATTCAGTTGCACAATCAAATATTTATGGTAGAAAACTCTTTTCTTTTCTCCCCTCTCCCTTCCCCTCTCCTTCTTTCTGCCTGTTCATCTTCCCCTTCCTCCTCCCCTTCCTCTTCTTCTTCCTTTCTCTTCCTCCCCCTCCCTTTCCTTTTCCTCCTCTTTCTTCTTCTTGTTTTGGGACCTGGCTTGGACTCAAGACCTCAAGTTCAAGCTCTTCCTGTTTTCTTGCTCCAAGCTAGTGCTCTATCACTTACACCACATCTCCAGTACAGTATTTTGCTGATTAATTGTAGAAAGGATTATCTGGGACTTTTCTGCCAAACCTGGCTTTAAATTGTGATTCATTAGATCTTATTCTCCTGAGCAGGTAGGATTACAGGGTGCCTACCTGAAATCAGTATGTTCTAAAGAGATGTTATAATCTACCAGGCCAAATATAAAACAATTATAAAGAAATATATAAATTTTAACCCTTATGCATACATGCATACATACATACATACACACATTCATACCTCAGGGCCTTATGTTTGTTGGGAAATTGCTCTACCACCGAGCCACACCCTTGAGCCACATCACTATCTCTCTTTACTTTGGGTTATTTTCAGATAGATCTCCTGATCTGACCCAGGATGCCCTCATACCATGGTCATCCTTTCTATACCTACCAAGTAGATGGGAATGCATAACTACATCCAGCTGGTATGCTGCTAACATTTTGCCTGGGCTGGCCTTGAATAGCAGGTCATCGGATCTCTTTTTCCTGAATAGCTAGTACAGGCATGAGCCACCATGCTTGGCCTTGATACCCTGTACTCTTACACTGTTTACAAGGAATTTTTTTCAATGTGACAAATGAGATGTCTTTGATGACACAATATACATGAAAAAAAAGTGTGCAGTATAAGTGCATTTAAAACAGCAATAAAGCAGGCGCTGGTGGCTCAAGAGGCTGAGATCTGAGGATCTGAGGATCATGGTTCAAAGCCAGCCCGGGCAGGAAATTCCAAGAGACTCTTATCTCCAATAAACCACTAGAAAACCAGAAGTGGCGCTGTGGCTCAAGTGGTAGAGCGCTCGTCTTGAGCTGAAGAGCTGAGGTACAGCGCCCAAGCTCAGAGTTCAAGCCCCACGACCGACAAAAAAGCAAAACAGAAAAAAACCCAAAAAACTTATCGATACATTTCTGCAATGCTCTGATGGGAGGACAACTACCTTGTCAACTTTTATTAGGATTTGTTGTTCCAATGAATATAAGAAAAAAATGATGAAATTGTGACCTGATTTTCGGTTCAAAGATGCTCTTGATTTATCAGCATGCAAAAACAATTAGAGTATCTAACCTGCTAGTTTCCACTGATTGACTTAAAAATATGCAGTGAATATTTTGTTGGATTATGCTATGAATTAATTACCAGTCTTTAGTGAAACTAATATAATTTGGAATATTAATCATAACTCAATATTTGTAATTTCTCTAAGAGAGTTATTGAAGATTTCAGTCAACCAGATTATGGCCAAATCTTCAAATATTGTGTCTCTAAACTTCTAAAGCCAATTTTCTTCAAGTATTTTTGAGTAAGTGAATGTTACAAATTTTTAACACAGCAATTATATTACTGAAATAAGTATAATTCAAAATTATTATATTTTAGAAAATTTGAGAGAATTGATGAAAATAAGTTCACCACAGGGCAACTTACAAATGTGTTCATTTATAATAGAAAGCACAGATGTCATGACATATTTTACATTTAGAAGTTTGAATTATTTGGCTATTTATTATTATGTTAAGGATATTGTTATATCTAAAATCTACTGTGGACAATAATTGAACACTTATTTACTCTCAGGGCTACTGGGTCCTCATCTGTAAAGTGGAAACAATATTATTCTGTATAATAAGATCATTGTGAGGACTGAATTTATTTTTGGAACGCAACCTTTCACTTAGTACTTATTTAAATGTTAAATGTCACTATTTCACTCTTTCAATTTAATACATTTATAG